ATGGACAAAACAATAAAGAAATTGCCAACAAAATCAACCAGAATAAAGAATTAACACATTGAGAGCTATACCAGTAACCCACGGTTTGCATCCTTTTCAAGAACAAGACCAGCTTCAATGAACGCATCTATTATCACCCCTAGAAAAGCTAAGGTATAACAAATACAATTAAACAGGTACTAAATTCCTTTAAAATAGCAGAGAAATTAAAATAGTGGCAAGAGCAAGGGAAGAACATGCCAAATATTGTGGATACGACAAGCACGTTTAAGTCTGTCTATACCACCAATTACTTCCAGAGGAGCATGTACAACATAAGCTTTTGGTGGAGTACCTCTATCTGGCATGCATTCCTGCAGAATAAGAACAAATCTGAGTTCCAGCCAAGAAAAGTTATGCCTTTGTCAAATCTCATTATAAGCAACAGCCTCGAAACATCTACATGATAGCAGTCTCTCTTCCTAATACACACAGGGAACAACCAATCGAACAAGCATTCACAAAAAGAGATTGGAGTCACATGAAAAGGCATATAAAATCACTATTTAGATTCTTTTTGCAGTACTAAATCATTTTGTTCAATTGCATTGCGTAATTCCAAGTTTGTCAACATTGCGTTGAAGGCTCTAATACATAGTTCCCTTTGTTTGTTTCAGAGTTGAAAATTTACAGAAGCCTATAATTGCATAACTTGGATAAAGACTTACCAATCCCTTCAGTCTTATATACACAGGTCGTCGCTCCAAAGCATCCATTACTTTTGGTGAGACCCTCTGGAAGGACAATGAAAAGCAATTTATATATTACGAAAAGTTAGAGTACGAAAAATATATTACAAAAGGAATAAAATGGCCATCTAAGTATAAACTTTTACCCGCAAAACGTCAGCAGCAGCTTCAATTCGATCAGTATTCCAAAGCTTCAGCATTTGCACAGTCAAGTGTAATGTATTTGGCTTAATAAAAATGGACTTGTCAATTCCCAAACCTGTTGAATCGAAAAACATTTGTCAGAAATTATGACATAATGAAGAAAGCAATGAGCCCACGGGCTAAATTGAACATAAGAAGAAAATGCAGAAATAAGAATTTTCATCTGAATTAACTTTATTAGTTTGAAGAGCTGAATTCTTAAAGTTGTTGAGCTTGGTGACCATTTCATCCGGCAAGGTCAATGGAAGTGATACAAAATGAGTGTACCCAACGTTTTTGCTTTTAATTGCCTACAGGAGAAAGAGGCGCACATAAAACCTTTAGGAATAACTCAATCAGTCAAACAAGTGGAAGTAACTCTACTAACAATAAATTTGTATTCTTGATTTTATCAGTAGTTTTAGAATTTATCACAGAGAACGTAACATCCATAGTAAAGAGTCTAGTGATAGTGATAAAAGCATCCTGAGTTCAAACAGTTATAAATCTTCGATCTATAACACCAAATTTTACACAAAAATAGTATGAAACAACCAGATAACCAAATTCAGCTGAAAAAAACTCACTTGAGAAGTCGACATAGTATGAAAGCTGCAAGTCTCTCGTTGCTATGGAGGAGAAAATTTGTGCTTCTATTTTTCTTCAGTGCTTGCACTTGTTAATTTTGACCCTTCTCTTGGTTGGGATGAATGGGTCAATCCACGTGATGTTTACCAATTTTTTCCAGTCGGACCCACCCAAGTTCCAACTAAATAATAAGAACGGGAATTATCATATACTACTTTAATTCGATAAGTGGGGTTTGGAAGAGTAATGTGTATTCAGGCTTATCATACTATTGTGAAAGTAGAAAGACAATTTTGTATTGATCCTCGGCTCAAGTAAATCATATCAATATCAAGTATGGTAAGAAAATACAACACTGAAGAAACATATTTAAGGTCATGTCTTCCGTATATTGCAAGTATGTCATGTTCTATCTAATCAGTTTTTTACTTTTCGCCTATTTCTATACTTCTTCTCATACTGTCCATAGTTAGCCTCTCACGTCTCCCTAAAGTATTTGTGCATTTCCTCTTTATCATTTTGTCCACTATGAAGGTCATTTTCACTTTATCTCAAATATCTTCGTTCCTAATTTTATCTCTAGTAGTATATCCTATCTCGACATCCTCATCTTCGCTATTTTCATAATTTTTTTTTGAATGTGTAAGCTCTTGAGCAACCAACACTATGCCCTTACAATATAAGTGGTCTGACAACCAATTTATAAAACTTAGTTTTATGTCTTGATCACACACTCTCATTATACAACATACCAAATACGGGCCTTTATTTCATCCATCCAACACCATCAATATGATATGTGTCATTATCTTTAGCTAGCGTTTGATCCCTAGTTCTCAAATATTTTTGGCAAATTATATTTGGGTGAAGTTTTTGGTGAAGTTTCACTATGTGTTTGGTCCTAAATTTTTCCAAAAATATTTGACTATTTCAAAAATATAATTTATACACGTAAGTTCTAAAAATTATTAAATATACCCATAAATTTATATTATCATTTTATAATAAATATGTTTCGTTAAAAAAATAACCTTATAGTATATTTGATAACAATCAACAATAACAAAATAACAATATAGGTAAGACAATACATTAATCGCATAGTCAAACTTGTCACTGATTCAGTTATAGTTATAACTCATTAAACACAAATTGTTCTTTTTTCTCAATTTTATCACTCAAATTAGAACTCAAACTTTTAAGGAGAAGGAAGTAACAAATATTAGTTGATATTAATGAATAATGAGTATTTTTTTTTTATAAAATATAAAAGTTATGGGTAATTTTTATTTTTTTTAAAATTTTCAAATATTAGAACTTGACCCAAATACTAGTTTTTTTCTAGTATTTGGGAATAAGTCTATTTAAGGCCATGTCTTTCGTATGTTGGAGATGTGTCATGTTCTATTTACTCACCTTTCTCTAGTACTTTTTTTCTCCTACTTGTACCTCTTCTCATACTATCCATAATTAACCTCTCACGTCTCTCTAGAGCATTTGTATATTTCCTCTTCATATGATTGAACTAACTCAGTCCCACTTCTATCATCTTATCTACCATGAAGGTCAGTCCCATTTTATTTCAAATATCTTCGTTCCTAATTTCATCTCGAATAGTATACCTACACATCTATTTCAACGTCTGTTATTTCTTTATTTTCATCAATTTTTTAATGTGTGAGTTCTTGATTAACCAACACTATGCAGCATACAATATAGTTGGCCTACCAACCAATTTATAAAACTAAGCTTTATGTCTTGATGACACACTCTCATTACACAATAAATCAAATGTGGGCCTTCATTTCATCCATCTCACATTAATATGATATGTGGCATTAGGGGTGTACATGGCCGGGTTGGTTCGGGTTTTTCAAATATTAAACCAAACCATTTGTGTTGGATTTTTAAATTTATAAATCAAACCAAACCAATAAAACTCGGGTTTTTCAACCTCGGGTTTTTTCGGTAAAGTATTCATACAAACATATAATTTACTTGTACTTCAAATATTTCTTTAGTCCTACCAAAATACAACTATCTAAGATGTTTCTTAAAAATATAACACAATATGATATGATTAATGACACTAAAATATCCAACAATAATAATAATAATGAAATCGCGTAAAACAAATATTGAAAATTAACAAGTCATAATGAAAATGATCATATATAATTTAAAAGTACTAAATCATGCTAAAATTAAGTTTAATAAGTATTAGTTACATGACTAAATATTAAAGGAAATTAAAATTAGATTATGTATTTTAATTGTCTAAACCAATGTAAAACTAAAGAACAAATATTCAATATTATTGTTATTCTTAGTGTTGAATTGATTTTCTTTGTGCATTAGTGTTAATTTGATTTTGCTTTAAGCTTTATTATAATCACCAACATCTGTGGACTATAATATTTATTGGCCCCATTCATAATTCTACGTTTCAAACTTGAAATAATATATTAAAAGATAAAAACTATGAAAAAGTATAAGAAATATTAAAAATTATATCAAAGTAAATATTTTATGTATAAAATAAATTTTAAAATTATATATATAATGTCGGATTGGTTTGGTCTCGGGTTGATTTTTTTTAGGTTAAAAACCTAAACCCTAACCCCAAAATATAGTCGAGTTTTTTTTTCAAAACCAAACCAAGTCAAACCAAACCACTAGTCGGATTTTTTTTCCGGGTTGACTCGATTTGCTATTTGGTTCGATTTTCAGTTTGATTTTGTACATCCCTATGTGGCATCATTGTTAATCTCTCAATTTAATTAAATTATTGATCTAAGATACTTGAAACTTCTTTTTTTGTAGATAACTTTTATATCAATCCTTACTTTCATATCCGACACATAGTTATACAAAATTGAATTATTTACCTCGAAGGTATACAAAAAATTGTGAGAATTTTGAAAATTATTTCTTTAAATGTAATAATTGTCGAAAAGGATATTTTTGTGTATTTATTTTAGTGTTTGGGCTCACCAAGTAAATATCCCAACAAACTAAGCTCTAACCTTTGAGTTTGATGCAATAGCCCAAGAGGAAAAGACATGTTAGATAGTAATAAAAAATTAAAAATCGTATCGAATGTTCACACCAATTTTGATCTGAAAAAAAAAAACATATAGTAATTAGATAATAACTTATTCATTAATTTAATTCATTCTATTTTATGAAATGATAAAAATATATCATATATTTTTTGAATTACTATAAATATACTAATGTATTAATACATGCATCAAACTAAATATAGAGTAATCTTAGTCCTTCATTTGGAATCTTAATAATTTAGTTGATTGATTGTCTAAATTAGATTGCTATCTTGAAATTCACTCCTTCGAAAATCTTAGTAATTTAATTGATTGACTATCTAAATTTAATTCTTACCATGAAATTCACTCCCCCATTAAAATTTTAATAAGTAACTATATTGATTGATTGTCTAAATTCAATTTTACACCTTGTTCATTTCTCCTGACTAGCTAAAGTTGGCAAGAGAATGCTTGAATTGAATCTCCATTTATATTCCTTTGATGCACATAAAAAGCCATTATGAAATGCCCAAGTTGACTACAAAGCGTTTGCAATTCTGCCTTTTGTCACCTTTACAAACAAGAGAAACACAAAATTATTCTGTAAACAAAAGATTCCCAACTCCATCGCAAGCCTGCAACTTTCCTACTATTTCTCGCATATGCGTAGCATTCATAGTTATCTTCATTGGACTATATGTATTCTTAGAAATAAAAAATAAAAAATAATATTATAATCTCTGCGTTTACCATTACTGATATCCCTTGATCTTATAATAATAAAAAATATTTTATTTTGTTCTTTCATCACATGATAACATTCAGAGACCCAAAAGGGAAATTATCAGTGAAATTGATTTGATTAATTCTTGTTATGAAATTCGGGAAAGAGTTTACAACGCATTTAGAAGAAACCCTACCAGAATGGAGGGACAAGTATTTGTGTTACAAACCCCTCAAGAAGCTTCTCAAGAACCTTCCACCTACCGACGGCGGTGACAATCCTCCGCCGCACTTGCAGGACTGGTTCGTCAGAATTCTCAATGAGGAACTTGACAAATTCAACGATTTCTATGTCGATAAAGAGGAGGAATTTATTATTCGATTACAGGTTTCTTTTCTTCTTCGCTACTCTATACGTAGGTCAATCAATCAATCAAAACTGATTGCGGCCGGCTATACGCCCAATTTCTTGGAATTTTATCTGAATTCTTGATTGATGCATGTTCTTTTTTATCACATTAATCTTGTATATTCCACAAGTATTATCTGTGATGTGATCTGTACTGCTGATTATTCCAACTTACAATTTAATTTCCATAAATTGTTTATGTAATTTAAACTTTTGACGGATCATGAAAGTTGTGAAGCCAGGGGTTTACTTGTACTGCTTGTTACAATGGTGTTCTAGAGTATGATGAATCGAATGTTGAGACTTAATATTCTTGACAAATGTGGTGGGTCAACTTGTGCCAGGACTAATTTCACAGTATCTGCTATATTCCAACAACATAAGTACCGGATAACTCTATCCCCAAGACTGGATAGATAGAAGAAATCACCTGGATGAAGAGATTTTTAAGGTTTCATCTGGTGCTATAAATAAAAGTTTGAATATAACATTTGGCTGGAATTTTGTGAAAGTATAACGCAGGGCAATTGCAATTATGGAAATCAATGACGGTATTTGAAGTACAAAGGAGGGAAGTATATGTAAATGAGATTATGAGGAATTTGAGAGGGGAGACAAGAATTTAATAGCTGCAGCAAGCTGAGAGGAAACAGATATATGCAAAAACAAATAAATAAGTTGTTAGGGAGAAGGTATCACAGGAGCTACCTGGAGAATATTCTTAGTTAATCTGAAGCATAAGAGTATATTGATGGTATATTCCACCTTAGTGCCTTCCCAACCTATTGAACTATTTTAAGAAATGACCCTACATATCTTAAATTATGATACTTCTGTCATAATCAATACGACCTTCGTTATTTTTAATCTTATAACGGTGGTCCCGAGCCGATTTATGGCCACTTTGATTTTACCGAGTTCCTGCTACCTCCCATCAATATAGGTATAGGTAACTCTTAACTGCCAATGCTTTTGCAGATCACAAATGGGAAAAATCACCTAGTTTTTTTTACTAGGATTTAAACTCTAGTCTCCAAGGTGTTCACCCACTTCTTTGATTACTTGGCCAACTCTTAGGTGCTTAATCAACAAAACATCCTACCTTGATTTATGTAGTTAAATAGTGTACAAACAGCCAATCTATCCATCAATCAAACAACTACTTCTTTATCTCAGATCAGGTGTATGAATCCTCTTATACCATTCTGCTCTATTCAGGTCCTTTTTATTGTAATACTTAATATAACATGTTTGAACAAACTGTTATGTTGATTTTGGCCAAAGAGTGGTTAAAATATTTGCCTTCCATTTATTTGATAATATGGAAGGATTAGCAGTAAGATGCACATTAAGTTTGCCTTTCAGCATCTACAGATGAAATTCTAATGAAATTCCACCTTATCTGATTTAAAAAAAAAGGGGAGATGCACATTAAGTTTGAAGTATTATAATGTAGTAATAATTTATATTAATTTGAGTTCTGGAGACAACTTTCACTTACAAAAACATAAACCATTATTTTAGTCAAAGGAGAAATTTTTTTTAGGTCACTTCATTGACACAGGTTTAGTATCAATTACCACTAGAACTCTAGAAGTCTGGTATTGGGGCCGGCCATATGACTCTGCTACACCCAATTTCTTGGAATTTTATCTGAATTCTTGATTGATGCATATTTTTTACCACATTAATCTTGTACATTGCACAAGGATTATCTGTGATCTGTACTGCTGATTATTTCAACTTTTAATTTAATTTCCATTAATTGTTTATTAATTTAAACTTTTGGCGGATCATGAAAGTTGTGAAGCAGGGGTTTACTTGTACTGCTTGTTACAATGTTGTTCTAGAGTATGATGAGTAGAATGGAGAGACTTTATATTCTTGACAAATGTGGTGGTCCAACTTGTGCCATCACGACTAATTTCACGGTATTTGCTATATTCTAACAACATAAGCACGGGATAACTCTATCCACCAAGACTTGGTAGATGGAAGAAATCACTCGATGAAGAGATTTTTAAGGTTTCATCTGGTGCTACATATAATAGTTTGAATGCAGCATTTGGCTGGAATTTTGTGAAAGTATAAAAGCAGGGTAATTGCAATTATGGAAATTGATGACGGTAGTTGAAGTACAAAAGGAGGGAAGTAAATGTAAATGAGATTATGAGGAATTTGAGAGGGTTGACAAGAACTTAATAGCTGCAGCAAGCTGAGAGGAGACAGATATATGCAAAAACAAATAAATAAGTGGTTAAGGAGAAGGTATCGCAGGAGCTACCTGGAGAATATTCTTAGTTAAGCTGAAGCATAAGAGTATATTGATGGTATATTCCACCTTAGTGTCTTTCCAACTTGTTAAACTATTTTAAGAAAATGACCCTACATATCTTAAATTATAATACTCCTGTCATAATGAACACGAACTACGTTATTTTCAATCTTATAACGGTGGTCCCGAGCCGATTTATGACCACCTTGATTCTACCAAGTTCCTACTACCTCCCACCAATATAGGTATAGCTAACTCTATCCATCAATGCTTTTGCAGATCACAAATGGGAAAAATCACCTAGTTTTTTTTAACTGGGATTTAAACTCTAGTCTCTCCAAGGTGTTCATCCACTTCTTTGATTACTTGGCCAACTCTTAGGTGCTTAATCAACAGAATAACCCACCTTGATTTATGTAGTTAAATAGCGTACAAACAGCCAGTCAATTCATCGATCAAAAAATCTCAAATCAGGTTTAGAACATTTGCCTGCCATTTGATAATATGGAAGGATTAGCAGTAAGATGCACATTAAGGTTGCCTTCAGCATCTACAGATGCAACTTTAATGAAATTCCACCTTACCTGACAAAAAAAAAAGGTGAGATGTGCATTAAGTTTGAATTAGTATAACGTAGTAATTAATTATATTAATTTGACTTCGGTAGACAAAACTTTCACTTAGGAAATATAAACATTATTTTGGTCTAAGGAGAAAAAAACTAGGTCACTTCATTGACATGGGTTTAGTATCAATTACCACTAGAAGTCGGGAATTGCGAACTTGCATGATCAGATTCTTCAGAAAATGACTGTTGTCCCAAATGTTCAGTATTTTTCAGCACCAAAGACAGAAAATTGTAAGAGTGAACCAGTGCATCACTGACTTGTTTGATGAAGCCACTCATATGGTTCCCTCATCCCCCTCCCAGAAAAAGAAATAGAAAAAGGACTTGGAAGGAGGAACTTCCATGTCATCATCATGTGTTGCATATAGGTACAACAGGGCATCCCTATATCTAGATTGCCTAAGAAAAGTTCCTCCAAATTTGATGGTGCTGCCAGTTAGTTTCATCGTTGTTGTATGATTACTGCCCAGTTTGACAAGGGATTGACGGTTTATTTCTCTTGTCCCACAACTGCCGGTTCATTGTGCTATTTTCAACTGCAAGTTTTGTCTGTTAATAAGCATGCATCTCCTGTGGGCACAACCAGTTTATTAAGTAAGATATACACCTAAATATTGAATATAGAGTTGACCTTGCATATGACTTCAGTCACAATGGTTGTAGCTAGTGCACACCTAAACTGTCTATATTGTACAGTTTGCTTCTTTGGTTGTAGCTAGTGCACAAGTAAAAGATATGAAATTTAAACCCTTGCTTTCATTGTGGTGAAGTTCAATATACTTAAGACAATTAACACATGAACATACTAGCAACCCTAAAAATCATCATTCTTAATTAATAGCTGAGCAGATCAATGGTCTGATGGCTTAAGTTATACTCTATTTGTTTAAACTACACAGAGTAGGAGTTAGCAATGAGTCTAACAGTTGATGCTAGTGGTAGTCTAGCAGATTATTTTTTTTGATTCACTACTACTAGTTAGTTGATCCTTGGATACTTTGTACTGGCAAATTAAATGCACAAGTTTGCTGCCATACATTAAAGTTGAGCAAAAAATGGTTGAGTTAAAAACTGCCACTATCAACTTTTTTGATAAGGTAAATACTTTATTTAATTATGGGAAAAGGCTGCATCTATCAACTTTTATGCTTTGTATAGAACTATTCTAGGGTGACAGATTAGCATTTAAAATTTAAATTGAAGCATTCTTCGTGGAGATAAAAAGCACTCAAGGTGAAAAATATGTGCTATTTGCGAGATTATTTCTACTTATAGCCTGTCTTTTATCATTTGCATGAGCATCAATTAATTGGAATGGATATTTTACTAGTTGAAGTTATAGAGAACATTTAATACTCTTTATTTATTTATTTTTTATTCTGCTAAGGTTGACTTGATATGAATTCCAATGGAGAAGGAGAATCATTGTTAGAGGATTTATATAGTCGACCCCAACTTGTTTGGGAACGAGTTATTAGTTATTTTATCACTTTTCTCGTTTGCAGTCTCCTATAGCTAATGACTGTCAATTTCTACTTTTCCCTCTTAATTTGATTAAGCTGGGTCTCTTAGTCTCCATAATGCTACCTTTGTATAAGTTGTCAAATTTTAATGAATGATGAGCACTTTATCTGAATCATGCATAGGCTGAGATTTGGTCTTGACAACGGCATGTGGGATATCATAAGGAGCATTTCCCCCCTATTTTATTTGTACTAATCAGAATTCGATGAAATTTGGAAGGGAGGGAGTTGGACTTTACTTTTATCTGTTTCATGCCTTGGGTGGAAGATTGACAGCTATCTTAGTCTTGTATTAGGATTGTATGGTGGTGAAATGAGTTATGCAATATACGATATTTAGAAGTTCATTCTTTTTTGAATTTGTTGTTATGCCGTGGAGGATGACATTCCCTTGTGGCGTCCATTTTAAAAAAATTTGTGGTGGTAGATGGGGAATAAGGAAAAATATTTTGGTTTGAATTTAGGGATAAGGCACAAGTACCCCCTAGACTATGACCGAAATCCCAGAGACACACCTTTACTAAATTAAGGTCCTATTACCCCCGAACTTGTTTTTTTTGTAATTTTTTACACCTTTTGTCTTACGTGGCACACTCCGTAACTCCACGCAATTGAGGCGCGTAAGAGATATTTGGATGCCACGTAAGCCAAAAAGGTGCACAAAATTACAAAAAAGATGGGTTCAGGGGGTAATAGGACCTTAGTTTAGTTAAGGTGTGTCTCTGGGATTTCGGTCATAGTCTAGGGGGGTACTTGTCCATTTCCCCTTGAATTTATCAAGGGAACTTTTTTTCATTTGGAGTTGGACCGATTTCTCTGATGGAGTTCCAGAAGGGGACTGAAAGTAGGAAATTTTTAATTCTCTTCTCTTTTTCTTAGTCTTGGAGAGGTAGGATTGGGAAGGACGGGTTCAAGAAAATATGCCCTAGAGTAAGCAAGTAAAAATTAGACGTGGAAAAATAAATAAATATTCAAATATGTGGGTATCAATTGTAATTGTCTTTGGTATGTGAATTAATCCTATCTCATCTATTTCTATACCAGGAATTGAAGGAATGGATTGAAAGAGTGAAGGAGAAGAGTGGCAAAGACGGAGTTCTCACAAAAGACAGTGAATTTAGTGATGAAGTGATGGGTATACGTAAAGACTTTGTTGCTATACACGGGGAGATGGTTCTTCTTAAAAATTACAGCTCTCTAAATTTTGCAGGTACCACAGCATTTACACTCTATTTTAAGCATATATTGTGATATCAGTTAGCCAGTTACAATTGCTCAAGCATTTGTGTTTCAAGTGTCGTATTGCTCTTGTTTTAGCTGAATAACAACTTCAAGTAGAGTCTTGCTTAAATTTTGTGCAACATCAACTTTCTATAACAAATTGTTTTATTCCCTTAGGTCTTGTTAAGATTTTGAAGAAGTTTGATAAACGAACTGGGAGATTGTTGCGTCTTCCTTTCACACAACTTGCTCTCGATCAGCCCTTCTTTACAACTGAGCCTCTAAATAGATTAGTCTGTGAGTGTGAGGAAAATCTCGAGCTCCTATTTCCTTTGGAAGCAGAAGTTGTAGAATCAGATGCTACTGCAGAAGAGCCGAAGAGAGGAACTACTTCTTATGCTACAAATGTTTCTCCAGCATTGCCACTTGGGGAAGAAAATGTGGATATATATCGAAGTACACTTGCGGCAATCAAAGCTATTCAGGGACTGAAGAAGGCAAGCTCCACGTATAATCCACTATCATTTTCGTATATCTTTGGTAACCAAGATAATGATAGCACAGGCGCTATAACTGCAGAAAACTCTGATTCAGACCAGTCGGTTGCCTCTCAGAGTGATAAAGAGACAGATCAAGAGGATTCCCATCCACCGGAATAGAGTTCACCTTTCTAGTTTGCTTCGTTGGTCTTTGCTCAGTGGTTTGTTGTTGACTAAGGGAGATAAAATGGTTAGCTTCTTCATTGTATACTACTGTTCTGGAATAAATTGTTCTCTGTCGACAACTTTTAGCACCAACTGGACTTTAGTAATTCTTGGATTACTTCTCATTTGTTTGAAACTTTTAGAGGGCAAAAACTTTTAAGATGTACATTCTGCGGAAGATGTATAACATTTAAGTTAGTCTTATCAAAACTTGAACACTCTAGTTATAGATGCTACCATTTCTATTAATGGTGTGTTCATTATGTGTCCAATTTTTTGTCAATCTGACTATTTTGATCAACAGATTTTTCATATAGAAAAGGGGTATTATGTTGTCCGTCTTTATTTGTCAGGTAAACTCTCCAACTTTGAGAGTGCACATCTAGACACCTCAAATTGGAGTGTTTGGTTGTCAATTGAGGTGTTTAGGCACTTTCTTTCAACTGAGGCCAAAGTTGCGTGTTTGTTTATGTATTATGCCTCATCTATATGATTTTCATTCGTTCTTCTATGATGTCCACTTATGTCGATTGGACGTTTATCCTTGGTAAGAATTAGAGAATGGCCTTCAACAAGTTACCAGTCATTTTCATATGAAACTTTGGAAAGCTATAGGACCTCAAGCATTGATTGCTTTGTTTAAATATTTTGGGAGTCTTTTGATGAAGAAAGCTGGATATATTAGCTGTATTTCATACATCAATCATTTTCCTAAGCACTATTTCATGAAAATAATTCCATACACATCAATCAGCTTTCTTTTCATCCTATACATTCACTGTCTAATTTCATGAACAAAACTTAATTACAAGCACCGTTGACACATGAATCAAAGAGTACAAAACAATAAGAACCAAGGAAAAAGAAAATCATTTTTGAGTCTCGACTACTCTGGTGATTTTCCTTTTACATACTCTTGTCTTCGTCGTAGTTGAAAGGCAGGGGTACGGACTTGGAGGCACGATATTTCCCAACGTTATTTAAGTGCTCATTTTCCAACCTGAACAGCAGAAAAACTACTACTGTTAGAGAAAAGCAGTACCAACTTAATCCTGACAATGGAAAGATTCTTAACAATATCGGTGTATCTGAACATATGTTAAATATATCAATGTATGTATGTAAAAGTTCTTTAAATAGTCGGAGTACAGAATTTAAACTGAATAGGTAATGCATCTGACCTGAAAAAGTTCCACAAGCCTCGGCGAAGGATTTCCAAACAGGCAACAATTGCAACAAAAGCGTTCTTGTGCAGATGAGGTAGTTCTTGAAAATCTAGAACCAACTGCATCCATACTAGTCTCAGAATAATGTCAAGAACCTGCGTTTAGACTCAAAATCATCAAAAACCTAATCCCACTGCAAGTATTTTTAATAGTTGGTTTTTGAATCCTGTGTCTACACTTACAATGGCAACAAAGTAGACAATCTTGTGTGGCACAAGTAGCTTGTCTCTCAACCAGGGGTTTTTGGAATTCCTTTGCAATAAACCCCAATCTATGACAAGGTCCCAATAAGTGTTTGCAACTGTAGTAACTCCTGAAGTTGATGCTGCCATTACTCTCCAAAAGGTTCCTCCCTTCTGAGAATAAAGTGTCCTCATCACAAGAGCAACAATTGTTGAGAAATATTTGAGGCTATTAAGCCCTTGCATCGAATCTTTTTCTTCAAATAAGCGACGAAGACACTGTATATAGCATGAAATCATACGAAGCACCATATTACATAATTGTCAAGATATCTATAGTGGGAAATGGGAGTGATGATTTGCGGTGTAAAAATTCTCAAACCTGAATAAACCGAGACCAAAAGGGAATAATTGCAACAACTATGTATAAGATCTTATAAACTTCGCTATCTTGACATGTGTTTGATCTTGTTTTGAAGTTGCCCCATACATAGTAGCAGACATAGAATTGCAAACTCCTAATTGCTTGAACCTGAAATAAAGAGCACAGTGTTGTTTTTTGCGATAAGCACAGGACAATTTGCACATTATACTGACTGAATCATCAACATTTTGGTATAATGTAGAAGTTACCCATATAGAAAAAGGCTGAGTGTCAAACCTGGCTGGTAAGTTGATCTGCCAAGATGAAATCTGGTAGAGTAACCTGTAAATTGATGTGCAACTAGTTAGTCCTGTGATATTAAAGTATGTGAATCTGTATATCTCTTAAACAAACTGCTGGTACCTTATAGAGGGGAGCGCATAGGCAGTGCCAGGCAGTTCTTAGAAAGAAGAAACGACTTGAACGATATAAAATGTTCAGAGGACAAAAAGTTATTAGAAGAAGAACCTGAAAAAAGAAGAAGATTTAAGATCATTAAGGGGTTCAATTTTTTGTATAGATCAGTTGTAGAATGATAGTAGAAGGAAAACTAATGTTTCTAAACTTACAAACAGCAACACAAGTGGGATCAGCTCTTTCACTGTCTCATAGCTTCCTGTTTTAGGGTCCATATCCATATCCAGGTGGAAGAGTGAAGCAACCAATGCAAGAACTGAAAGACCAGAAGCAAGGAGGAAAACTTGTTTGTAACCTAACTCTGTTCCCTGCTTGAAGCCAAATATGAAGGGATAATTGACCCGAAAACGCTTCCAGTAGTATACATTTGCCCCATACATGAGCATATGGAGGACAATGTATCCAAATAGGCTGCAATGTTAGAGCTTCATTACTCATATGTATTGCTTAAAACATGGTTTCTCTTGTAGACAAACATTAGGAAGGAATCAATATGAATTTGTAAAAGTCAGATGTTTAGTTCACCTATAGAGTGGAAATATGTTATTCATATACTTATCACGATCCTTATGCTCTAGAAGGTGCTGTGCACGTATCGCTACAACAATAGCTGCCACTAATGCTATTGAGCAGCCAGAGAACAAACCTGTAGGTGAAAAGTATATCAGTTACTAAAACGAACATATGGTTATGATGCAGTATACAAACTTTTGTTAAGCACTTATCCCGGATGAAGATGATTCATTTAAAATTTAATTTTGCATTACTTAGTTCAAACTGAATGCAATAGCTTCAGTTGAACCAGCAGAATCTGTCCTCGGCCTTTGATTACATAGAAAGAGAGTGTTGATGCTAATAAAGATGTATTGTTACCCATGAAAAATGTTACTCGGTGCGTTTCTCTTTTAGCTTGTGGTCTTAAATGTTTCATTCCTTTCCTTCGATTGCCATTGACAAAATGTTTTACGAATGTGACCTCCACTCTTTCTATGAGCTTGTTAACCTAAGGAAAAGCAAAGATTGATGAGAAGTTCAAACTTCAAATTATAGTTGCAAGTGGAATAATCGAAGGAAATATACCTCATCTGAGTTACCAAGATCAGATTTATCAAGCATATCTGAGTATGATTTAGAAGCTTTCCTTGAAGTAGTCTGTATCAGTAAATTGCAGTGTTAAAAGGCAAAACTAAAAATTTCTACTTTCTATTGCCAAATAGTTATCGATAACTTCAGTGTAGTACCTTATCATACTTCTTCATGATCTTAGAGAACGCCAACACATTTAATAAACTAATACAATAAATAGCAAAGTGTTAGTTAAATTGAACACCAAAACAACTACAAGTGGGAGAAAAAAATTGCACCATTACCGGTAGCTTTTCAGAAGTCTAAGATTTTTATAGAACTCAACAAAAGCCGTTTTCATTTGCTCTTCAGCTTTTTTGAGCTTATCTTTGCTGAATTTTGAGTTTGCTTTTGAAGTCCTGATCACATTTTTGAAAGTCGAGATAGGTGTTGCAGGATCAATATTGATTTTTACATTGTCCAAAATCTCTATGGGAGAAGGCCTAAAACGCATGAGATTCCTCTTTTCTTTATCTCTATTCCCTGATGTTGATTCCTCTTCCAGTATTTCTTCACCAGTCATCTCAACTTCTTGAATTGCCTCCATATGTGACCCACCTGTATTGAGGTTAAACACAAATCCAAACTAATTACATATAGGTCACACATGGAATCAGTATTTGAGAAATTGGACTAACCTGGACTTCTTATATGAGTAGGAACTACTGATCCTGGAGACAAAGTAGTATCATCATCCATCATCACTTGGTCACTAGGCATACCAATTGAAGGTTTATCAACCATAATTCTTACAGCAATAAGCGCATCCATTTGTTTACTCAACTTATCAGCTTCATCCTTCACTTCCTCTACTTTTTTCTTGTAAAAAGCTATCACCTTGTTGAATTCATCATCAAGTCTTCTAAAGAAAACCATCTCATATTCTCCACCTTGTTCAGATGACATAAGAAACATAGTTTGATGGTGTCCTTGTGACCCTTCTTGTTGCAGTGAACTTACTAAAATAACTTCTTCATCTTCATTGTCAGTTTTACCAGGTGAACCTTTGAAACTGAATCTACTTTGTAAACCACTAAAAGCTCTGTACATAGATATCCTTCTCTTTAATGAGCCGTTTGGTGTGGATGCAACTTCAGGTAATGGTGCATTTTTCTTCTTGAAACAAGATATCTCTTTCAACACACCTTTTAGATAATTATAATCCATATAGGCTTCTTGCCATTCAGGTACCATTTGGGATGTAAATTCTTTCCCAAATTTCATCTTTATCAAAACTGTTTGGTTTTTCTTTAAGATAAAAAAAAAGTGGGGGTTTTCTCTGTTTTTACCAAGAATGAAAAAGATTGGAGTATATATAAAAATGTTGGGTTTGGGGTTGTAGCCGTCAGTGAAGAAAAGGTCAAGAATCAAGTTGGTCTCCAAAACTAGTAAGCTTCCAAGAATGTCGTGGAAAAAGGTCAAGAATCAACCGCTTTTCTTTTTTGTTTTCTTGATTAGTTTAGGGATTTCGGAGCTTGAAATATTGTTTAACAATGGCAGCAGCAGCAACCCAGAAAGTCACTGAACTGTGGGGCTGTGTCAGAGGTGGCCTCGCCTCTTCACAACAACAATGGGCAGAACCACACTTTACAATGGTTGCCAATTTTGAACTATTCACTAATTGACTGCCCCATTAACAACTAAATCACATTTAAGATTTCTAACTTTACGGTTTCTATCTTTACCTCATTTATTTTCGTTCCAGTACTCTCATCGTCTCAATTTGATTTGACGTGAAATTTAATAAAGTAAAAAATATTTTAGAATATATTTGATATTATGCTACATGACATGAAAAATTAAAATTTAAAAGGGAGAGAAATCAAGTAATTTTTTTTAATGCACGTACAAAATCTTAATTAAAGGTGGTTGGCCAGTTTGTGTCCTAGCTGCTCTACTTAGATAGAAAAGGAAAATATATTATAGTACTTAATATTTTTTGCCTTTATTTAAATGTCAACTTAATTTTTCATTATTTTCATTCATTTTATTGTACACGAGATCATTTCGTGTTTACTGGATCACACCAATTTCAACAACCTTTACTTTACTTCCTCCCCTATATATTAAAGAGTGCTTTTAACTTCAATTTAACAAGAGTTTTCCTTTAATTAATAAAAATAATACTAATAGTTTTTTAGCTACGTAAAAAAAAAACTCAAATATGAGTAATAAATTTAGAAGAAAACAAATAATGCCTTGTTGTTGATGATTAAAAATGTCATTTACTTTGGATTAAAATAAAAAATTAGTACGTGAAGTAGTAGTTTTCAAATTATATAAATGATGACTAAAACCATCCAAATAGACAAGTTTGTAGATATTGTATAATATTGAAGCAGTGTGTCATCAAATCTCTGTCAAAAGATCCAATTGGATAAGAATGTACCATTAACCAAACTTTCTTCTTTCTTTCTTTCACCATTACCCAAAGTTGTTGACATTTTTTTTTAATTTCATAATAATTTGCTATCGTTGTAACCTTTATTTTTTTGGCGAGAACAACTTCACTCTGTAATAGCGTACAAATCACGAGGGATGCATTTGTTATTCTAATTTTAATAATCTCAACCGGTCCTTGATTATCAAATCAAAAGAGTTATTTTTTCAATTACCATTTTTGTTAAGTGATATTCAATTGTGATTTTCTTTCCTAGAATTAATTAAAAATTAGTCTCGGCTTCCCATAGGCCGTATGCTTGAGCAATGTCCGATTTCTAGATATGTATGGATGATAGTGTATTCATTGTAAAATACTGGTTTTATGTGATAAAGTAAATTCAGACAAAATATTAGTATATAAAATAATCTTTCATTTTATGTGAATATTATTTTATGTTTTACTCCAACCAGATTTCACCTAGAAATGCTGGAACTTGGAAGTCTTAACAGTGAAAGAAGAAGGTTGATGAACAAATATGACCCTTTTCCTATATATATTCTAATGACTTTTTTTTGGACGTTTTCTAAAAAGTCCTCACAAAAATGTATTTAAAATACTTGATAAGAATATAATAGGTACGTAAAATGAAATACATGATGTAACGTTTCACAATCCATGTCATGATTTGAGTTTTTAATTCTTTTATTTGTTATATGCATATACAATTCAAGTAATAAATAAATAAACCTAACTAAACCAAAAGATTAACTTTATATCCACATCGACTCTAACAGTGACAGCATACACAAGTATTGATTGATACATTTACCATAAGGTCAAAGTAAATGATGTAGTATTCAATTAATCTTTTTAGACTTTTATTCTCCAAAAGTTCTTTCAAAGATATCGATTGAGAGTAATAGACACATATATAAAATAATTCCACAATATGACATAGTATGACTCGTATATAAATAGATTTAACTATAAGCTACAAAGTAGAATTAATTTCATGAGATTGAAAGGTCCCCTACACATCAATTATGCTCTTAAATTATTTGTTGTATCACTATCACTATACTAGGTCCTCCTGGCAAATTTTATTGCGTCTTCTTGCAAACTGTTGCACCATGGACCTGTTTGGGTGTGCGTGTCTTTCTTCTTTTCTTAATTTTTTGGGGGGTGGGGGTGGGGGGTCTTTTAAAATAAAAAATATGATTGGTTATGTATTGTAGTTAATTTTTCACTTTGACTTAAAATTGAGATTTTCGAAGTTTGAAAATTGATTTTAACCATTGGTCGTAAATTTAAAAATTTAGGTAAAATTTATTTTCTAGTTAATGTTAAAATGATTTCATGTGACAATAAATAGAAAAAATTACTTTTATATGATAAACTTAAATATGATGGCTTTTATATGGTATTTACGAATTACAGATTTTATTTTTATTTTTTTATAATTCTAACTTTTATGTACCAAAATATATTACATAAAAATAACATTTGCATGATAAATAAAGTTGAATAACCATCGATTAAGATATACTCAATTTTACAAGATGTGTACTTTTTTTTTGACATATGTACATTCACTTTTGGTCTTCTTCTGACGAGAGGGAGTTGCTCGGATGGTAAGCACCCCTCACTTTCAACCCAAAGATTGCAAGTTCGAGTCACCGAGGGAACAAAAGGGGTGGGAGCTCCTAGGGAGTTTAAAAAAACAAAAAAACTTTTGGTGTTCTTCTTGATCAAAGGTTAATAATTCTTCATCTAACTTTTATCATCATTATTGTGTTTCTTCTATTATTTCATTCGACTAATCAAAGTGATATTTTATTTGTGGACCAAGTTGTAATTGGAATATATATAACATGAGAGAATCAAACAATATGACAAAGACCACACAATAAAATGGACAGTCAAATTCACGAGAAGATCAAAACAACGTGTTATAGACCAATACTCCTAGGGAGTTTAAAAAAAAAAAAAAAAAACTTTTGATCTTCTTCTTGATCAAAGGTTAATAATTCTTCATCTAACTTTTATCATCATTATTTTGTGTTTCTTCTATTATTTCATTCGAATAATCAAAGTGATATTTTATTTGTGGACCAAGTTGTAATTGGAATTTATATAACATGAGAGAATCAAACAATATGACAAAGTCCACACAATAAATGGACAGTCAAATTCACGAGAAAATCAAAACAACGTGTTATAGACCAATACTCCATATTAGCTACTTCATGCTTTTCCATCGTTATATATAGAACTAATTCCTTCTAATTTTTCGTCCATCTAAAAGCTTATAAATGATCTTTGACAAATCAAATTAATCAAAAAGATATTTACAAACAACTTATTTCATAAAAAATGGAATTTATAATTTGAAAAGGGATAATGTTCTGAAAAATACCTTAACTTTGGTCGGATTTGCTGTTGCGATACTAAACTTTCATGAGGACCTATTACCTCCCTAAACTATTTAATACCGTATTTTTTACCCCCTGAACTATTTAATAGTGTATTTTAAAGGTATATATGTGCCCACATGGACACATTACTATTTATAATTTTGCATTATTTTTTATGTCCACCTGGGCAAATATATATGTTTAAAATACGGTATTAAATAGTTTAGGGAGGTAATAGGTCCTCATGAAAGTTTAGTATCGCAACAACAAATCCGACCAAAGTTGAGATATTTTTCAGACCCTTATCTCAAAATAATACAGGTTACATACTATGACAAATAAAAACAATATGATAATACTATAATATTTTTTTACAATATCGATATACTGTATGTATTAAATTCATATGGCTTTATTAGACAAATAATTTCCTTTGCCTCGGTCTATGTTTTTGGTGGGCCGCTCTATGTACTTAAGAAAAGAACAAAGCAAGAAAATAAGCGTGTAATTGTCGTTTGATTTGACTTTAGACGTATTATTTTGTTGGGATTTATGCAGTTGTGATGATTGACAAAGAAAGACGAAACATGTCAGTCAATATGGTCCAAAGGTGCACTGTCACGAGCAGTTAAATTCGAGAAAACTTTTAGAATGAACAAAGACAAGAGTGCAGAAATAAAGGAATGGATAATGTTAATTTCGTGAGAAAACCCAAGGAAATAAACATCTGATGAATTGAAGAGAAAGAATCAATGAGTTTGATTTGAAGAAGGAGTCTAAAGAGGCAAGGAGTTTTAATTGATGTTGGTTTATTAGCATTTTAATATTAATATTTTAATATATTAATTTGCTATATTTTGGAGTTAGAAAGATGTTGATTGTTTCAACAGTTAGTGGGCAGTTTCATTGCTACCGTTGGTAGGCATTTGTGCCTAATTACTCACATTTGGTGTAAATGCCTTTTAGGCTTAATTGCCTAGGCTACTGACTAGCCGTTTGCTTACTGCCTTGGACGTGGTCTTCCAAGACCATTACTTCTCCATATTATTTCTCCATTATCTCATTCTTTCAGCCATTGATGACATTAGTTGCCTCTCTCATTATCTCATTCTTTACTCCTTCATTATTCTTTGTAACCTATGTAACATATGTA